GCCAAATTCTGAGAAGTTTCTGGAGCTTTGGGGAGGGGATGAGAAGTAGACAACATGGTCTCTGACTTTAGAAAGCTTATTTTTTATTTGGAGAGGAGATGGGAACATAAGACAAAATTGGAGAATGTAAGCATATACGGATATAATACGGTGGGGCAGGGAAGATGGGCTATTAAGGCAGGATTTCTGGAGAAGATGAAACTTGAGTTACTTCTTAGGAAAACCATGGCTGTGATTCATGTGTGGAAGCACGTGGGATAACGTGTGTCATCCCTGCATTAAGAGGGAAATTTCAATATGCATATAATGTAGGACTGCGGATTCTTCTTCTGTCCTTGGTCTTTACTTTTTTTTTTTAAAATTTATTATTTTTTTTTGCGTTAAGCGGGCCTCTCACTGTTGTGGCCTCTCCCGTTGCGGAGCACAGGCTCCGGATGCGCAGGCTCAGCGGCCATGGCTCACGGGCCCAGCCGCTCCGCGGCATGTGGGATCTTCCCGGACCGGGGCACGAACCCACGTCCCCTGCATCGGCAGGCGGACTCTCAACCACTGTGCCACCAGGGAAGCCCGGTCTTTACTTTTTAATTCCTTCCTTGTCATTTCTTTTTTTTTTTTTATGTTGGGGGTAGGAGTTTATTAATTAATTTAATTTTGCTGTGTTGGGTCTTCGTTTCTGTGCGAGGGCTTTCTCTAGTTGTGGCAAGCGGGGGCCACTCTTCATCGCGGTGCGCGGGCCTCTCAGTGTCGTGGCCTCTCTTGTTGCGGAGCACAGGCTCCAGACGCGCAGGCTCAGTAGTTGTGGCCCATGGGCCTAGCTGCTCCGCGGCATGTGGGATCTTCCCAGACCAGGGCTCGAACCCGTGTCCCCGGCATTGGCAGGCAGACTCTCAGCCACTGCGCCACCAGGGAAGCCCTCATTTCTTTTTTAAAATAAGTTTATTTTATTTATTTAGTTTTGGCTGCGTTGGGTCTTCGTTGCTGCGCACAGGCTTTCTCTAGTTGCGGCGAGTGGGGGCTACTCTTGGTTGTGGTGCCAGGGCTTCTCAATGCAGTGGCTTCTCTTGTTGCGGAGCATGGGCTCTAGGCGCTCAGGCTCAGTAGTTATGGCTCGTGGGCTGTAGAGCACAGGCTCAGTAGTTGCAGTGCACGGGCTAAGTTGCTCCGAGGCATGTGGGATCTCCTGGGACCAGGGCTCAAATCCCTGTCCTCTGCATTAGCAGGCGGATTCTTAACCACTGTGCCACCAGGGAAGGCCCCTTGTCATTTCTTATAGGAACTCAAACGGTGGACTAGAATGCTTGGTTAAATATGATTGCCCACGCAGATTTGGACCCAGAATAGTAAGTGCCTGCTCTTATTTGTGTCTGATGATTTGCTACCTCTTCCTCTTTCACTTCCATCATGTTCCCAGGCTTCCAACAGTGGATAATTGATCTAATTAAGGGCATAAAATGTAAGATTAAGGAATGATCTTTAGACTCTGCCCTATTAGTCACCATTCCCTCCAGCTAACCAGTTCCCAAGTCCTATTGACTTTTGACATTCTAAGTATTTCTCAACGTGTTCTCTGCTAGCTCTGCTATTTCCTCTGCTGCTGGATTCAGATCATAACCATTTCTCACCTCATTTATGCAATAACATTGCAACTGGTTTCCAGCTCTCCCTGCCTCTCTTTTCTTCAGTCCTCAATTTCATCTCTCACAATCAGAATTACTTTTCAGAAACACAAATCTGCCTTATACAGCCAGTGAAAATCCTTCTGAGATTCTTGTTTTGCTTACAGGCAAAGTCCAAAGTGGCGCACAGAACCTTTCTGGTCCTGGCCTCTGCTCACCTCTCAGTTTCATTTTTGGTCACTCCCAAACAAAACTGAGTCCCATCCATAAGTGTGGTTGTTTTTTTAGGTCTCATGGTTGGTTGGTTTGTTTGTTTTTTAATGCGGGAAAGTTGCTCCGCAGACTTCAAACTGCTGATCTCCTACTCATCCTTCCAAACTCCTTCATTCCTGGTCACCTCAGCTGAGCATTCCCTTTAGCACCTTTTCTATAATGCAAATACAGTACTTTTTAGAGGTATCATAATTGGTCGTAGAGTCTGCCTTTTCTACTGAGCTGTGTGTTTCTTGACAAAGAACTTTTTCGGTCTCTCTCTCTCTGTGTCTTCAGGAACGAGACCAGTGCTGGCACACAGGTCCTGTAGGAGCACTGTACCTAGTGAGGTCTTCCCCCACCCTCTCATCCCCTACTTCACGACTTGGAAGAGGTCGAGAGACCTGCTGTGAGAGGTAAAAATCGTCAGGAGAGTGATAATTCACTTACAGAAAATGAAGAAGAGGAGGAAAAGGTAATCTATGGCTTTGCCAAGATGGCAGGGAAAGGAAGCTCATCTGGAGACAGTGACTTCCATAACAGGAAAGCCTTCCAAGGGCTAAAAAGGCCGACCTATTTTCCTTTTCAGGGAAAGCGACAGCTAATGTTATACACATCTTTTGGAAACGAGCAAACAGCCCTCAAGCCTCAATGAGAATGGTTTTTCAAATGTGGTGACCTGGAGACAGTAGCCAGTAGCCCGCAGCGGAGTTCTCTCGGCCTGGGGACAGAGACGCCCAGCCTCAGGGGCTAGCTGAGGGAACCTAGAAGAAACCCAGCTCTGTTCTTTAGTATTTTGCCTGGGGATGGGCAGATCTGACATTAAACTTCCTGAAAGCTGGTGAAAACCCTAAGAGTGTGGAGACCTGGAGACCACCAGAACACAGGTCATAATGATCAGAAAGTCTTCTGAAACCACCTCGCTGTAACCTAACCATCAAGTCACGTGGGTGGCTAATATGGAAACGTGGAGTCTGTTCTATGGGGTCCTTCAGCATAGGCGCCATGTGAAGGCTCAGCGGGTCGTTTATTTTTCTGATTGTGAAAGGGACATAGGACGCGTTATTTCAATTTAGAAGGCAGATTTTCTTTTTTTAAAAAAGGAAAAGTAATACTTAAAAAGCATTTTAAAGCAGCACTTTATTTCATTTATCGAAAGCTTCTAACAACATGCCTGGTTCTCGGCTGGGTTCACATTATTATATAATCCACCCCACAAGGTTTGACGGTCACTAATGTGCTGACGAGGAAGCTGACCAGCTCAGAGAGGCCATCGGGTTCCTTTTAGGAAGGGGCTCAGGGGTGGTTTGAATCCAGGTCTCTTACCTCTTGCCTGAGACCTTTCTAGACACCAGGTTCTCTCTTCAAAGACTGCTGCAGGTAAAACCTAACAACTGTGATACTTTCGAGGTAAGGAGAATCTGAGGAACGGGAAGGAGAATTGAAGGTATGGGAATGAGTACGAGGGCGTATTTATTCCACTTTTTCATTTCTTAAAAGGGTTGCCCGAGAGGAGATGCTTTAGAACATCACTTCTGTAAAACCACGGTGAAAACGAGGAAATTAACAATGCAGAAAGGCTACGAGAGACTTGACAAAGTTGTTAATAATGCGAAGGCCGAAGAGATACACCAGGCCCTCCCTACTTCATTTATACTGACGATTAAATAAGCACAACAGGGGGCAGACGCAGGTAGAAAGCGGGCTCTCGCGTGGCTACCGCCGTTGACATTCCTGGCACTCGGCGTTCCAGATGCTTCCTTACGGTGTGCGTGTCTGTGTGGCTCGGGCTCCATATTCCACTCGTTTCCCCCTCAACGTTTTAGTCTCGCTCACAGGCGCCCCAGACGCAAAAGACGCCGGGAGCAGCCAAGATCGAGCGTGATCTCCTTAAAGACGGTGATCTTTTGTAGGAGGCGGCGGCCGGGGCTTCCCTTTTGGGGTCCCCCTACCCCGGACGCCGTCCTCGCTCGCCGGGCCGCGTGCCGCGCCGGGAGGTGGCCTTTCCGCGCGGGAGGCGCGTGCGGCCGCGGGCAGAGGTGACCTCGGGCTCCCCCGAGTCCGACCGCGGCACGCTTCGTGCGGCGACGCAAGGCGGTGTCCTGAGGTGACACCGGCTGCGCCGCCGAAGCAGCAGGCGCCGCCGATCAACTAGTTCGCACCGAGGATTCCTCTTGGTGCGTGGCCCAGTTTTCCTTAGGACTGGCTCCAACCCCTCGCCGACACCGCCCCCCGCGCCGCCACGCTCCGAGGCCTTCCCCTGGGACGCCGGGCGTCCCCCCCACGGCCGCTCGGCGCGGGCCGGCGCGCGCGCGATTCCTCGATTCCACAGGCGGTTTGCGCCGCGGGTGGGGGCGGGGCGCGCGGGGAGGGGGCCGGCCGCCGCGGGGGGGGGAGGGGGGCCGCGGCCGGGGGCCAGGGGGCGGGCCGGCGTGGGGAGTTCCTTGCTCGCGGACCACACGCTCTGCGGGCCAATCCCGAGCCAGCCTCTCTCAGTGTCACACGCGGGACACGTCCAGGCGTTTGTTGGCAGGGCCGGCGAGGGGGAGGGGGCGGGGAGGAGGGAGGGGAGTTGAGTGACAGGCTTGCGGGGCAGGCTGGGAATTGTAGTTCCCAGCTCCCGTGGCCATAGCCATTTTGTAGTCGGGGGACTACAACTTCCAGAAGATCAAGGGGACCATTCTAAGGTGCCCCGGGAATAGGCGGCTCTCCCCGGGGCCGGCCGTCCTGGGGCACTGGCACCCAGCAGCCCGGCTGCAGGTAGACACGAGGCGTGGCGGGGGCTAGCGTGTGGCGGCTGTGGGGTGAGTGGCAAGCTGGGGAAAGGGGGTGAGGTGGAGCGACCGAGCGTGCCATGCATTGAGCTAGGGAGCCTCTCTCAATTCCACTCTTAGGCTCGGCGTGGGAGCGATGTCTGAGGGGTAACCCGGGAAGGGTTCGTCGAGGCCTCTCGGGTGTCTCGTCCACGGGGCTGCGGGGGTCCTCTGGGCTCGGCCAGGGGCGGTCGGCACCGGAGGAGGCGGGCGCTTGGTGGCCCAGCTGTGGGAGTTTTCGGCTAGCGTCCGGCGGGGAATTATCCGAGGAGCCCTAACTTGTATAAAAGCAGAGTCCATTTAAAGTTGGGCTGGATAGCCTCTCTCTCATTGGTTAGGGGGCTTGGAAAAAAGAGACTCGGCGAGCCCTCGCTGTGGTGCTGCCGCCGCCGCCGCCGCCGCCGCTGGAGTTGACTCTTCTGCTCGCACTGCTGCTGCAGCACAAACGTGACTTCCAACATTTTTTATTTATCTTTCCTTTTTCTTTTCCAAGATGTAACTACGGATCAGACACTAAGGACCTTCACGTTTCGCTGATGTAGTTTTTGGAGGAAAAAGGGGGGGGAGTGAAGGGCGTCGGTTTTTTTTTTTGTGTGTGTGTGTTTCGGGGGAAATTTTCCATTATGAGTGTTTTACTAAAGTGAAATTTTTTTTTGTTTGCTTCGTCTTTGGCTTTTTTTTTTTCCTTCCCAATTTCGGATTTATTTCAAGGCGAATCGGGCTTTGGGGGAAGAGGAAGAAAAGTCGGATTCCAAGATCAACCACCACCACCAACAACAATAAAAACCACCAGGATATTTTTTTGCAAATTTCTGACGGCTTTAAATTCATGAAGCAATTGTCCCCTTTTGCAATCAGCATTTGGATCTCAGAATGAGCAAGGAAAGACCCAAGAGGAATATCATTCAGAAGAAATACGTAAGTGCTCCTAACAACACATCCTTTGACTTGTAGTTTTAAGCAATGGCTGTGAATGTCAAGTTTATAGATAATTCTGCAGCTGAAGGGTTTTAAACACAGCGTCCGATAAGGCTGTTTCTTTCTTTTCTGAAAGAAGGCTTTTTCAGGCAAAGTCGTGTCTGCCTAGTTTGGACGAAAAAACAGATTGGTGTAGCGATACCTACAGTGAATAAATTGACCTCGAATGACACAACCATAATCTAGTTTTAGATGAAAGGCAGGGGATTTTGGTGGAGCCTGGATGGGGGTGTAGGGGCTGCGGTAATGTGACTAAACTGCATTCTCGGGCGGATTTGGCCCCTATTGCACTTTGCATGCAAATGAGCCTGTGTTATTATTATTAATGTTATTTGGGAAATCGTGTAACGCATGTGTGTTGGAAGCCCTTTAAGTTGCAATCGAGGGTCCGATTATGGCGATCTTGTTCCTTGCACTGGCACATCAAATTTAATGTATGTGGTCGTTTTGGATTATTTGGTTCGCAACATAAACCAATTGGGAATCGCGTTACAGCGAATGCATTTGTTGGGATTGACTTTAATAATGGGACTGGTTTTGTTTAAAAATTCATGGTTTCCAGTTTTAGGGGGAAAAAGACATACAATATAGCTAATGTTTTTAAGAAGACATGTGAATGCATATGTAAGTGACTACAAATAATTACTCCCAGTTAACTGGCCTTCTGAAATTGGGTGATTATTCAGAGATTTAACTGGTGTGGAATAGTTAAATTTGTTTTGTGCATAGTACAGCTACGTTTTGATTGGCATGGGGAGTGTTTTTGTTTTGTGTGTGGTGGCTTTTTTTTTTTTTAAGTTTGGGGGGAGGGAGGGGAGAGGGGTCCGAGGATTAACCAAATATGCACTCGAGTGATCGGTGATTAGCTGCATGCTTTAAATCAAAGAACCCATTAAAAAAAAAAAAGGCCAAATGAACACACATTAGGAATAATGCAGTGTTATAAGAAAGTTTTATTTAACTCGGGTCGACAAATTGGTCTTAATATTTTCCCTTTTTGAGCAGTGTGATGTGTGTTAATGGGAGATGACCTTCGGGGCACTGGTTTTGTAAAAAATAGATTTAATGGAAAAGCTGAATATCTCTTCTTAAGGGCTGATCCTAATCTAGACACGTAAACTTCAACTATGAAAGAAATGCAAGGTTAAATAATTAAGCCTAACTTAAAAAGCTGTTCTCTAAAGAATTTAAGAATTAAAATACATCCGCATTGCAGAGGGCTGGGGAGAATGCAAAGGACTAGTTTAAACTCGGGCAGTAGAAACTGCAGGGAGACAACCTTGTCTGCGAGCGTGGACGCCTTCCCGGGGCACATCCGATCCGGGTGCAGCCACAAAGCAAAAGGGGTAGAACTTGGACCAGAGCCACCCCCACCCCCGCCCCAGTCATCGCGAAGTTGGGGAGCGGCGTGGGGTGGGATGTTTTGTTGCCGGTGGTCAGCGGATTGTGTCGAGTCCTGGCGTCCGGCCGCCTGCCCGTGGCTGGCGGCGCCCGCGGGAGGCAGAGCACGAGTTAACGCTCTGGGAGCGGAGCCCCTGTTCCCGATGTGCTCTAGCCGGCTGCGAAGGGGAGGGCGCTCGGGGGTCGCGGCGGGCTGGGCCGGGGCCCGGAATACGCGCGCGGCCTGTAGGGGGCGGGCTGCAGGCTCCGGACTCCGGACTCCGGGCTCCGGGCTCCGGGCTCCGGGCTGCGGGCTGCGGGCTACGGGCGGGCGGCGCTGGCCGGCGGGCTGGCGGATGGGTGGGTGGGGCGCGGGGGAGGTGCGGCCGGTTGGCCTGGGGAGGGGGCGGTGCGGCGCGCGGGGCGGGGCGTGGCGGGGAGGGGGCGGGCGGCGCGCGGCAGCGGCGGGCGCCCCCCAGCGCGCGCACGGCGGAGCATGGCGGCGGCGGCGCGGCCGGCTCCCCGCGGCCCTGCTCGCTGGCTCCAGTGCGGGCCCGAGAGCAACAGGTTAAGCCGGCGAGACGTCAGCGCGCCCCCTTCCCGCCCCCTGATTCCTCCCCCGCCTCGCGCTGGCCTCCCCTCCCTCCCTCCGCCCCCCGCGGCTCCGGGTTCCCGGACGCTCAGGCCGCGTTCTTTTGTCATTGTGACGTCACAAAGGGACGGGCCCGGGTGGAACCTTCTCCTCCTCCGTGACGTCAAAAGTCGGGCGGGAGGTTCCAGCGCGGCGGGGCTGCGGGGGAGGAGGGAGCGGCGCGGAGGCGGGGGCTGCCGCGTGGGAGGAGGAAGTGGAGGAGGAGGAGGATGCGACCGGCCTCGGCCTTCCGCAGCGAAACGCCGCGCTTCCCTCCAGGTGAGCGCGGAGAGCCTGTGGGCCCCCTGCGAGCGCCCCCGACCCAGCTGATTCCACTTAGGGGGTGGGGAGCAGGGCGGAGACGTTTTCTGTCTGCAGAAACGTTTTCGTTTCCTCTGTTTCCAGGTCTGCTGATGCCGTGGCATTACTGTGGTGGTGGTCGTGTTCTCTCGTCAACGCTTTTGAAAAGCAGGGAAACTTCATGCAGGGAAGCTTGGCTTTGTAGGAGAACCATGTTGTGGATTTGGCCACCTTGTCACTTTTAAGTCGTGTTGGGGGTGTCTCGGCAGGATGTGGCGGGATGCCTTTCTGGGTGATGTTGCACAGCATCAACTGTTGCTCTTTATGGATGCCTTGAAACACCAGAGTGGCACTTCTTCGCTGTGCCAGCTCTAGGCCTATTGAGTATTTTAGGGGGTGGGGCAGACGGGGAAAGACTGTCATTGATGCGCGTGCTTGAAAGAGCACTGGACTGCGAGTCTAAGGTGTTCTGGGTTTAGTTCTTGAGGACCGGAGAACAAGAGGCTGGAAATCTGGGTCTGTTTACTCTTCTGTAAAATGGAAAAAGTAATACGTGCCTTTGCCACTTCACTTTATCTGAGGTCACGTGCGTGAGATAATGTCCGTGGAAGATGTAAAACAGTATGTATGTTCTTTCATTGTAAGGTGGAATTATTACTTGAGCTCGTGGAAGGCAGCACATTTCCTGCAAGTAGTCTCAAAAGCCTTAGATGCCTGCCGCGTTCCCGTTTAGTTTATTGCTTTAGCAAAGCAGAGTTTGGGGGTGGGATTGTAGATGGCAGGCTTTGGGAGAAATGATTGTTATATTTCGTATTAAATGACGTCCTTGAGAAACTCATAAATTGCACTGTAATCCTGTCTTAATTGCTGGGTACGATTCCCGCTACAATACCTTAAATAACTGAAAACATTTGCCTTTCAAAGCCCTAATTCACTTGGACAATAAAAACAGTTGCATGTTTTGCTCTATGGGTATTTTATGCCATTTCCATCACTCCACTGGTTGGTTATTCCTAGGCAGAATAACAGATGATACCCAGGTTGCGAAAGCATTTGATCTTTGATGCTTTATAGCAGGTATGAGTTTGAAATAAAAATCTCTGCCACATGAAGATATGATTCATACAGTTAGCATGAAAACAGATTACCAGTTTGATTCCTAGGACAGCTCAAGCAGAATTTGTAACACTAGGCTGTAAATTTTAAGTACCTAATTTTCTGAGTTAAAGGTGCAGTATGATTGAAAAAACTGGGAAAAGTTTGTGTTACCAGATTCAAAAGTGGGATTTACTAAATTGTAAAGAAAAAAATAGAACGACACCAAAATGTAGTGGTAGGATTTATGAGCTTCTGTCCCCCGTGGTGCCCCCCTCCCCCCCCATTTTACACCCAATTGAATTATTTTACAGTTCTGGGGGAAAAATGTGTACACATTATTTAATTGCTAATTTAATTGCTAATTTAATTTAATTGCTAATTTATTTAATTGCTAAATTGTTAATTTTCCTTTTTTAAAAAATATTTATCGATTAACAAATATTTATCAGGTATATGTGGTGTACTGCTATAAAGTGAATGGTGGATTTTTAAAAAAATTTTTATTTTGGTTTTGGCTGCATTGGGTCTTTGTTGCTGTGAGCGGGCTTTTCTCTTGTTGCAGTGAGCCGGGGCTACTCTTCATTGCGGTGCGCGGGCTTCTCGTTGCAGTGGCTTCCCTTGTTGCGGAGCACGGGCTCTAGGCACGCAGGCTCAGTAGTTGTGGCGTATGGGCTTAAGTTGCTCCGTGGCATGTGGCATCTTCCCGGACCAGGGCTCGAACCCGTGTCCCCTGCATTGGCAGGCCGACTCCTAACCACTGCGCCACCAGAGAAGCCCAGCTCTTCCTTTTCTGAGCTGTTCATGTGGCTTGCTTTCTGTCTGTCTCTAGTAGTGGAGAAAACTTTTCTCTTTGTTACATAGTCTCGGGCAGAGACAATTTAGCAACTGTCACTGTCTGGAGAGATTATAGAAGGAATATTGTCAACTTAAGAGTCCAAAGTGTGTCACTGAAATTTAAAAAAAAATTATGTTTAAAAATAATCCAATTTGAGTTATTATTACTTCGGTTATTATTACTTTACTATAGACCTGACTTGTGTGTCACCCATAGCCATTGGCCCAAATAGCCAGTTATAATTATTTGGTACTTAGATGGTTTAATGGCTGTTTCCTCTGTCATAGGAGGTTAGACCAGTTCCTGTTGCTGGGCTGAGGGCTATTGACTTACAAACGTCTTGGAAATAACTCCAGTGCTAATACATATCCTGTTCCAAAGGTTATTTAAACTTTCCTCCTTCAGAAAGAGAAAATCTTTTGTAGTATGTAACCAATGTTTCTTAGATTCAAAATAGAACCCTTTTCTTCCTTTCAAAGACGACATGGGAAAGCCATATTAAGCCCAGTACATTAAAACACTTGGTAAAGGCTAAACTGGACTTTTTTTTTTAAATTTAATGATAGTTTTATTTAACCTTAGTATAATAAAAATATTATCTTAACATGTAATCAGTACAAAAGTTGCTAAGATCTTTTGCCTTCTGTTTTTATCTTGTGTCTTTGAAATCTGGTGTAGTTTTTTAACCCTTACAGG